GCTCTGTGAAAGGTAGGTGCTGCTCTGTGAAAGGTGGATGTTGCTGTGTGAAAGGTGGGTGTTGCTCTGTGAAAGGTAGGTGCTGCTGTGTGAAAGGTGGGTGTTGCTCTGTGAAAGGTAGGTGCTGCTCTGTGAAAGGTGGGTGCTGCTCTGTGAAAGGTGGGTGTTGCTGTGTGAAAGGTGGGTGTTGCTGTGTGAAAGGTGGGTGTTGCTCTGTGAAAGGTGGATGTTGCTGTGTGAAAGGTTGGGGTTGCTGTGTGAAAGGTGGGTGTTGCTGTGTGAAAGGTGGGTGTTGCTGTGTGAAAGGTGGGGGTTGCTGTGTGAAAGGTGGGTGTTGCTGTGTGAAAGGTGGGTGCTGTTGTGTGTAAGGTGGGTGTTGCTTTGTGAAAGATAGGTGTTGCTGTGTGAAAGATAGGTATTGCTCTGTGAAAGGTGGATGTTGCTGTGTGAAAGGTGGGGGTTGCTGTGTGAAAGGTGGGTGTTGCTGTGTGAAAGGTGGGTGTTGCTGTGTGAAAGGTGGGGGTTGCTGTGTGAAAGGTGGGTGTTGCTGTGTGAAAGGTGGGTGCTGTTGTGTGTAAGGTGGGTGTTGCTTTGTGAAAGATAGGTGTTGCTGTGTGAAAGGTAGGTGTTGCTGTGTGAAAGATAGGTGCTGCTGTGTGAAAGGTAGGTGTTGCTGTGTGAAAGGTGGGTGTTGCTGTGTGAAAGGTGGGTGTTGCTGTGTGAAAGGTAGGTGTTGCTGTGTGAAAGGTGTGGGTTTGGAAGGGCCGAATGTCAGACATGCCCAGTTTGTAACCCTTTGAAAATAAAGTTTGTTTATTTTGCATCCTCCATTATCCACTGATTTATTCTTTGATTTGTCGTAAAAACTTTTACAACATTTACTGACATTTAATCTTTTTTTTGCAATATTTTTTTAAAATACACACCAGCATACATACATTCACACCCGCATACATACACACCCACATACATACACACCCACATACAAACACGCACACTTACACACCCACACACACATAATACACACACACATCCATCTATACATACATACATCGGTTAGACACATACAACAGTAGACAAAACAAAGATTTTGATTAAAACTTTCATTCAATGAATTTTGCATGAGCCAGAAACCAATAGTACTTTCCATAGAGAGAATCATTCCACAGTCTATTCTTCATAAGAGAAATGAATTTAAAAAGAAAGAAGGTAAGAAAGAAATGAATGTGAGAAAAGTAATGAATTTCTGACAAGTAATTACTGTATTCCCCTAAGTGTATCAGACAATCCCTTGTACAAGAACAAGAGCTAACTTGATTTGAGAACCGGAAATTTTGAAAAAAAAAGATATGATTATATTAAGTTATGGAACTCATATTTTATTCATTATAGAATCCATAAAACTCATCACTGTCAAAACTTTCATCCATATGATTTTAATCCATTTATCCATTTAATTATATACCCCCCCCCCCCCCCCCCCCCCCCCCCCCCACCCCTTCACTCCTTCCCATTTTATGTAACACCTGAACCATCATCCCTGTACAGGATATTTTCTAACAAATCATTTGATAAAATCTGCTATAATTGTATAAGACAAACAATGTTTTTAGATCCCATATGTTGGAAAGTTATACTTGGGAGAAAAAACAGTAATTTAAGAAAATAAATGCATTTTAGAAAAGTATTTAATTTCAGAAAAAAATAATAATGCATTTCAGAAGAGAAATCGAGAAAAGTAAGAAATGAAAAGATATTTTATCTTTCAGTTAAATCCCCAATTTTTTTTTTTGCAATGCCTTGTGGCTCTAGCAGTCTTTTAAACCACACAACAAAATATCTGCTATAGAAACATAAGCTACCCACTTAAGGGGATGCGTACCAAGCAACTCAACATAGCTTTATTGAAGACTCTGTGTGTATAGGTACACATGTCTTAACTTCTTAAATCCCAGTTGTTACTTTATCTTCGTCTGTCCCAAAGCTATATTTCTTGTTAACTCATAGTGTCTCAAAGACTGTTACTCTGAGTATTCAAATTACAGGATAGAAAGTATTTCAGTTACAACTGTGTAGAACTGAAAGAGCGGATTAATAATGTTGAACTAAGAAGCTGCAAAACTGACACTTCTGGGTGTGACCAGCTCCCTGTAAATGTCACTTTTCCAACTTCTCTACAGTGACATGGTTACAAGATGCATAAATATTGCTATTAGTCCAGTTCGCACCTGCGAAATGTTTAGGAGATCAGGATGTGACTATATTGTACAAATATAACATTTAAGGGTTTCCTTTCAAAACAAATTAAAAAATTTTTTTAAAAACAAATCCAAGTTGACGTCAACTTTGTCCTTGTCTTGTGTTATAGGTCATGGTATCATGACATGTTGCATGTGATGCATATATTTTTTAAGGCCTTGGGGGCAGCATTAGCGCAGTCGATAGTAGGCTAGCTTTCAAATCCAGCTGCCATGGTCGGTGTTCGAAACCGGGCGATTCGTGGGGTTCACCCAGCCTCTAGGAAATGGGTACCAGAGTTGACACTCTGGGGTGAATGGAGGAACATCGCTGTAGCTACAGAGTTACGTGCGAATGGCGACACAGGCAGACAATTCTTATCAGCTGTCCTTACTGGTGGCAGAGCACTTATGGTTTATAACCTTGTGCAATGATGCTGGTTCACATCTCCCGACTTTACTTTTTTTAAAAATTCCATTTAATGTTATACTCTGTTCATATCTATTGATTACTTCCTTTATACATCTTAATTTTTTTTTTTGGGGGGGGGGGGGGGGGGTGTAATAAATCTGCATAAATAAATGTGTTAAACATTTATAAGTGACCTGTGAATGGTAGAAGAGGGGACTTACAGATCTTCTGCTCATTAACAAGCTTGTTGCAAATGGTGAATAATTAAGGGTTTGCTGTCATCAGGTATGCTGGAACTGAAGTGTGCATATATCACAGCCTAGCTGCAAACCACAACATAATTAACCAACCATTCTTTTAAAAGCAAATGCAAGAAAAAAAAAGAAGTAGTAAACATAGTGTCATAATGATAGTAGTAGCAGCAGCAGTAGCAAATACAGCTACTCATAAAACTACAATTCCACAAGATTTATGAATCAAAAATGAACCAAATTGTAATGCAGGCTAAATAAAAAAGAACTGTTAATGTTGTTTATCATTTTAAAAAATAAGGAAAAGAAGAATTATAATAATTGTGGTGGAAAACATTTATAAGTGTACAAATTGTTATTAACAGAAAACTGTTTACGTCAAATTATGACTGTTACAACAAAAGTATGCAGCAAATTTAGATATTTAGATGCTTGTCTGTTAGTTACTGTTACAAGGTAAATACTGACAACAGAATGACTATCATCAGACAAATACTGGTAACAGAATGTCTATTAGTTAGAGTTACAAGATAATACTGATAACAGAATATTTACCAAAGTTACAAGAAACTTACTGATAAACAACGTACATTAGTTACTGTTACAAGATAATACTGATAACAGAATATGTATGTATCACTGTTATATAAACAGCATTCAGAAAGTAATGCCCTACCTTCTTTTTCTTTCGCAAACTCTTTGTGAAAAATATACAAAATTTACTAACAATATAGCTCATGTGTCCGTTAGACAACCCAATTATTTATATAATCTCTGCCCACCTCTATGGCCAATGAAAAAAACACTGCATGTATCAGGTTATGTCTTTTTCAGGTTTATATTTCTTCACATTATGAAAAACATCCCCAGGACCATCTCTTGGTTTGAACCATGTGAAAAAATACATATAAAATACTATAAAATAAATAACATATGAAATCATGTTTACAAAGAAAAATTAAAAGTAGTATGCAAGTTAAAGAGATCTTGATAACAAGATGTTAGGGAATACTGAGAATCTGATATAGAGACCTAGAATTTCCATGGCAATTTGCAAACAGTATAAATATTTGGTTACATCTATCAAATGCTCAGTAACACACACTTTTGAATTATACCTCGTTAAGAGTACACACTGTCCAATAAAACAGACAATGAAATGCTTTATTAGGATCAGTAGATGCCCAGTAGCATCACAGACTATAGAAATCTTGGTAATGACTCCAAATGTCAGCAGACATAAAATACACTTGGTTGTAGTTGCCAAATGCCAACTAACTTCACAGACATACAGCAACTTTTCTATTTACTGCAAAATGTCCAGTAACTTCACAGACATACAGCAACTTTTGTATTTACTGCAAAATGTCCAGTAACTTCACAGACATACAGCAACTTTTGTATTTACTGCAAAAATGTCCAGTAACTTCAAGGACAATGTACCAACTTGGTTATCACTTCCAAATGTCCAGTAACTTCAAGGACAATGTACCAACTTGGTTATCACTTCCAAATGTCCAGTAACTTCAAGGACAATGTACCAACTTGGTTATCACTTCCAAATGTCCACTATCTTCACAGGCATGAGGGAATCTTGCTTATGGCTGTAAAATATTTTATAACGGAAGATATAAACATATCTGGCTACTGTTGCCAAAGGTCCATTAACTTCACAGACATGACAGAAACTGTTATGGCTGCAAAATGTCCATTAACTTCACAGACATGACAAATCTTGGGCTGACGCTGCCAAACATCCATTAACTTCAACAACATGACAGAAATTTGGCTGAGGCTGCCAAACGTCCATTAAATTCCTAGACATGACAGAAACTTTTTTACGGCTGCCAAAAAAATGCAATAATTTCCCAACATGACAGAAACTTGTCTGAGGCTCCCATATGTCCAATAACTTTTTCAGACATGGGATAAATACTGGCTGAGGCAGCTAAAAGTCCATTAACTTCATCACTTTTATCTGGATAATTAAAAACCAAGCTGGGAGTTGCCAGAGGCTCCTGAGAAATCTGTTGATCTCATCATCCAAGACTACCTGCTTGCCAGCCTTTGATCAGTAACAACATCCTAAAGCCTCTTCCTTTAGACTGGTACATGGAACACACCTGCTGTCTTTCTAGGAACATCTGCAAAGATATATGTAAATAAATAAGTGAAAAATATTTGATAAATGCAAAGTTCTAGCCCTCTTGGCCCAGGAACACTAAAAAATGGGTCACGACCCCATTTGATTTCCAGAAAAAAACGCTAAATATTTTTCCTAAACGCTGGTCACTAAGCAATTTGTGAACAACACGAACAGCATGAAACATTATTGGAATAAATTCCATGGGGCCTAAAAAACGTAGGTAGTGAGTGACATGCTGTGACCCCATGACCTATATCATTGAGGCTTATGGGAAAACTTGATGTCAACTTAGCTTTAAAATAGCTTTTTGGTTTAAAGGAAAATGTTCCTCAATGCTATTTTTAGTTAATGTGTTCATATTGGACCAAACTGAAAGTGATAGCTTTGAGGCTACTATGCGGGAAGAGGTTAAATGACCAAATTATGATAGAATTAAACATCAGTCACAATTGATCTTCATCTTGTGTCTTCCCAGTCAATGCTAGAGCTCGTGTCCCTTGACAGGTCTCGTCCCTTAGTTTTCTGGATTAACTATCAGTTAGTCCGTTGCATATTTTTTACAGCAGGCATGTTTTATTTTTGTGTCCTCTACTTCATCTTTTTCTTCACCGCAGTGAATATGTGGTAGAAATTTGACGTAGAGCGAGTAGAACATGAGACTTCTGTCTTTAGGTTTCCCTTGGACACCCTCATTTACTCAACAAGCCAATGTCCCATTTCAGTGCATGGTTGGTGATTCTCTGATTGTCTCTTCTAAGAATGTTCTGTAGCAAAATCTAACCTGTCTAGCGTCCACGGTTTGGGAGGAGTTAACAGTTAAATTAAAATGTACATATAAACTACAGGAAGGCTTTTGTACTTAAAGTATAGACTGTTCTTATAATTCTTTCTCTCCAGATGGTAACACATCAGCGAAGAACTCATCCACTGGCTCGCCGGCCGGTAGACAACATTGTCGCCGGCTGGGACAGAGTTCGTGTCCGTCTCCTTTGATCGCATCAACACGGCAGGTGTCCTTTTCAGGGCTCTTGGTGGCGTGCAATGCTAAGCTATTTTATTTAGCGCACATAATCTAGTCACAATTATAACCTAAAGCTCTCCGTTCAGGAATGATGTTTGAACATTAACCATGTAATATCACCCTGGGACTACCCCCGGGTTCTAAAATTTCACCAGCGCTCTTCAATGTGTATACAAGCAAGATTGCAGAACTTCAAGCACCAGGTGTTGAAAGGATATTGACATTTGCAGACGATGTTCCTTCAAATAGGGAGGGCAGTGATAGGCAATGGATAGCCCAAGAGCTACAGGCAACTGTAGATAAAGTGACTGACTGGTGTGCAGAAGTGGGTACTGTCATCAACTCAGAAAAGGCGGCTGTTTTTCTGGTGCTCTCTGGACAATAGAATTGTAAGAGCTGATGTTCCAAGTCTCACAATTAATAACAGTACCATTAAAAGAGAGAGCAAGCTGAGGTACCTGGGTATCATTTTTGATAGAAGCCTGTCCTTCAGTAATTATGTGGAGGCAGTTGTGGTGAAATGCCAAAAAAGACTCAATGCTCTCAAGATTATGGTAGCACTGGACATAGATTAGAGAATGCTGTTCACAATGTTCCAGCATGCTATCATGTCGGTGATAGATTAAGGACTTGGCATACTTACCATATCAAAGAGTCAGCTGATGAAACTTGAACGCATACAGAATAAAACCATGTGGGTAATTCTGGGATGTACAGGAGATACACCGGTAGTATGTGTGCGATATATACTTGCACTGCCTACTATTGCAAATAGGTTCAAAGTTCTGTAGGCAAAGTCATAACTCAGAGTAGCTGCAGACAAGAAGCACCTCCTGTATGAAGCCCTAAGTAGAGTTAAGGGTCACAGACTGAAAAGAGGAAGGTCTTGGTTGGTGCAAGCTGAAGATACAATTAGACATGTGTGCAGGCTTGATAAATATGAACAAGTAGAGGAGTGGGTCAAGGTGTCCGAACATGTTTCAGACTTGTGTAGGGTTCTTATCACTTTAGGTCGTGAGTGCAGAGACTGGCCAGCTGGTGCTGCAGAATTAGAGGTTCAACAAATGACTTATGACAATTCACGCCCAGGTGATGTGATTATCTGTTCAGATGGCTCTGTGCTGAGGGGCAGATGAAGTTCATGAGGGTTCATAGTAAAGGCAAATGGACGTCGCTTAGTGCAACAAAGTCCAGCATACGATATCACAGTGTCTAGTTTGAGAATAGAGGTGGAGGTGGTCACTGCTGCCTCCCGCTGGCTTGATAGTCAGCTGTACACACATGCCGTGGCTGTAAATGACTCACAGAGCATGCTGAGAAAGGTGGAGACAGGCATGCTCCGTGAAGAGCAACAAGCACTGCTTCACAGATCCTGTGTAGTAGGCGTCCTTTTGATAATTTCTCGAGGGCATGCCAGTGAATTGGGAAATGAACAGCAAGCATCGCTTCAGAGGTCCTTAGTAGTTGGCATCATTTGGATATTTTATCCAGGTCATACTGATGTATTGGGAAATGAACAGGCAGACAGACTGAATTATCATAATTCTTTCACTCTATATGATACAATCATTATCACAATTCTCTCTCTCTCTCCATATGATACCATTATTATCATAATTCTCTCTCTCTCCATATGATACCATTATTATCATAATTCTCTCTCTCCATATGATACCATTATTATCATAATTCTCTCTCTCCATATGATACCATTATTATCATAATTCTCTCTCTCCATATGATACCATTATTATCACAATTCTCTCTCTCTCCATATGATGCCATTATTATCATAATTCTCTCTCTCCATATGATACCATTATTATCATAATTCTCTCTCTCCATATGATACCATTATTATTATAATTCTCTCTCGCAATTTGATACCATTATAATCATAATTCTCTCTCTCTCCATGATACCATTAATATCATAATTCTCTCTCTCCATATGATACCATTATTTTCATAATTCTCTCTCCATATGAGACCATTATTATCATTATTCTCTCTCTCCAAATGATACCATTATTATCATAATTCTTTTTCTCTGTATGATACCATTATTATCATAATTTTTTCCCTCCATATGATACCATTATTTTCATAATTCTCTCTCTCCGTATAATACCATTATTATCATAATTCTCTCTCTCCATTTGATACCATTATTATCACAATTCTCTCTCTCTCCATATGATACCATTATTATCATTTATATATATATATCTCTATATGATACCATTATTATCATAATTCTCTCTCTATATATATATATGATACCATTATTATCATAATTCTCTCTCTCTATATATATATAATACCATTATTATCATAATTCTACCTCTCTCTCTCTCCATATGATACCATTATTATCATAATTCTACCTCTCTCTCTCTCTCCATATGATACCATTATTATCATAATTCTCTTTCTCTCTCTCTCTCTCTCTTTCTCCTGTATGACACCGTTGCTAACATAATTCTTTCTCTCAATGTGATACTATTATTATTATAATTCATTTTTTCTATATGATATCATTATTATCACAATTCTTTCTTTCTATATGATATCATTGTTATCATAATTCTTTTTCTCTGTATGATACCATTAATATCATACATTCTGTATCTCTGTATGATGCTTTTATTTTCATAATTCTTTCTTTCAACATAATATTATTATATTATCTAAATGTTTCTCTCCAGGTGAACATATTACTATCACAATTTATTCTCTCTGTATGATACTATTATTATCATAATTCTTTCTCTCTGTACGATACTATTATTACTGTACATTCTTTCTCCATATAGGATACTATTATCATACATTATTTCAATATGATACTTTTATCACCACACATTCTTTCTATCTATATGTCATTATTATTATCATGTATTCTTTTTCTCTGTCAGTCATAGTGATGAAGGGAGATGGGTGATATCTCAAGCAGGAAATCTCAAGGTAACAAAAAGCTGAAGAAGAAGAACTTCTTCTCTCTATATGAAACTTCTATGACCATAAATTGTTTCTCTTTTATGTTATACTATTTACACATAATTTGTACATCTTGACAGATCAGAACATCAAGTAAGATTGGCTAATAAGCTGCATCCTGTCTCGGAAGCTGAAATATTTTGGTCATATCAAGCGCAACGACGGATTGGAAAAAATAATAGCAGAAGGCATGGTACCAGGAAGGAGGGGGGGGGGGGGCGGGGATCAACATGTAGATGGGCACAGGATATAAGTGGCTCCTTGAGTATGAAATTAAAAGAGGCGGGAGAGCTGGCGAGAGACCGAGTTTCTTTCAGGCAGACTGTGATGAGAGCGACGTTCTGCAAAGGACCTGCTACATGATGATGATGATATACTTATAAGTTAAAAAAATCTAGGGAAGAAATTACCATTATTATCCTTATAAGTTGATTCGACAGATGATGATGGTCTGTCAGTCCCTCTCTCCGTCACATCATCCTGACTGTTGGTGATCGGTGGAAGTGGTCGAGGGGATGGGATCAAAACAGGGATGTCTTTATCTATCTGTGACACACCCACTTTCTGACCATTTGTTCTTCCTGGACCTGATTAAGGAATCAACTGTATTTTTAATTTACCAGGGACAAATGACAAAATAGGAATCAGATGCTTATTTAGACAGCAATCTTGGCAAATATATAGAAACACATCATTTTCAATCATCATCATCAAGTGTCTTGATAACTGGCAACTTTACAATCTGTGATCTTCACAGCTTGTATCATTTCACTTGGTGGTGTCCCTCCATGACGTGACTAAGGGTTATCAAGAATCTTCTTACATTGTCTTCATCTGCCTTTTTCCCCACAGATCTTTCCAGTGGTTACAAATGTTCTAGTTTTCTTCTTCTCATAAAATAAAACAAAAAAATTATAACTCTTTCTTTCTCATGTTTGGGATAAGTTTTCTTTGAGCCCTAACCTCTTGCAAAACATCTTGGTTGCTCTTTTTAATTGTTTCATGAATTCTAAGAATTCTTCTGTAAAATCAAACTGCCAAGGCCTAAAAATATTGTTCAACTTCTTTAATAATCGTCCAGGTTTCACAGCCATGTGTCAAAAATGGCTCTAAATAACACGCAATAGTTAATTTTTAAACCTCCAGTGACAAGGATTTATTGCATAAAATGTTCTTCATTATATAAAGTTCAATTTTAGCCTGTCCTATTCTGAGAGTAGCAGAGATATTAAATAAAAAACAAAAGAATACAAATACAATGGGCGAGATGGTCTACATGAAAGGCCATCTTTACTTCACGGAACATTTTCTGGTGCCAGTAGCAGGCTGGGTCAGCCTGAGAGAATTCGGTTAATAGTACAATTCTTCTTCAATCTGGATTCAAACTAAGACCTTTAGGCAGCAAGCAAGCTACTGTCCACCACAATACTATGAGTAAAGAAAATTATTGGCTAAAAAGAAGGAAAAAACTCCAATACAATATTGAAAAAAGGAACAAAGAAACTTGATTTTCCAAGGGTGGAGGCCTGCAGGCCCATCTTACATACAGCCCTTCCAAACACCAATCTTACATACAGCACTTCCAAACACCAATCTTACATACAGCCCTTCCAAACACCAATCTTACATACAGCCCTTCCAAACACCAATCTTACATACAGCCCTTCCAAACACCAATCTTTCACACAGAAGTTGTATTGTAAAAATAAAGCATGTTTTGTTCATATAATAATAATATGCATATTATGAATATTAAAAAAAACATGGGTGGTAAAATGCATGGGCACACACACCCACCCACTCACTCACTCACACAGACATTCATACCTATCCACAAACACACAAACAATACACACACACAGGCATACATGTATCTTGACATACACATATCTTGACTACAAGCTTATTAGGACAACATCTAGTCTTTATGCCTGTAAGGACAACATCTAGTCTTTATGCCTGTTAGGACAACATCTAGTCTTTATGCCTGTAAGGACAACATCTAGTCTTTATGTCTGTAAGGACAACATCTAGTCTTTATGCCTGTTAGGACAACATCTAGTCTTTATGCCTGTAAGGACAACATCTAGTCTTTATGTCTGTAAGGACAACATCTAGTCTTTATGCCTGTAAGGACAACATCTAGTCTTTATGCCTGTAAGGACAACATCTAGTCTTTATGCTTGTTAGGACAACATCTTAATCCTTTCACCCCGAGAATTCTAAATAAAAAGGTCATGACCTCATGGGAATCCCTGTCAAAAATGCTTACACAATTTTGTTTACATACATTACTAATACAATTTTTAAAACTTTATTAATCTAAATTCCCCTAATTTTCCCCTTTAAATATTCAATAAACATGAATAGAGTGAAGCATTAGATGAAATACGTTCCTTGCGACCCAAAACTAGTACGTCTCACGTAACGCATGATGTGACTCATGACCTTAATCACTTAGTCTTATGTGAAAATTTGCAGTCACATTGGCTTTAAAAATCCTACTTTTATCTAATATATTTATATCCTGACCTTCTAAATGACTGCACAGGTGCAAATGTAGCCAACAGCATTAACTGTGCATCAAGTAAACAAGTCATTGTAGACAAGTTGGAAAAGTGACATTTACAGAGAATTGGCTCCAACTGGAGGTATCATTTTTATAGCTTCTCATGGCAAAAATGCCTTTTAGAACAACATCTTGTAAATATGCCTTTTAGGACGACATTAGGTACAAACCTGTATTTGGCCTGTCAGCTCCTATCCTGGCACTTGGTCGCTGGACGGTAACATAAGACCTGAGTGTATTCTGGTTAATGTTGACTAGTCTGTCATCAGTAGGTTGGAAAGGGAGTTTAGAGCTGTGGAGACAAACAAGGTGAAGCAATGTTCAGAGGACCTTCAAACAAAATGAGATGAAAGTTATGAAGCTACATTTACAGGTCTGTGTCAATATTCAAATCTTACATACAGATCTATATCAAACTGTGAGATAACCAATTAAACTAATCTTCTTGACATAACAAAGAGAAAAAATTTGGAAAAAAAAAGGAAAGAAAACATACATATCTATACTGTATTAACTCATGTATACAGTATTTTAGTCAAAAATAGCCGACTAAAATTGGGTGAAGCTTAAATTTGAGATATTAGGCAAACATGTCACTTGTACACAATTTATTTATAAACAGTTCACCATTTTGAAATGTACCTTATGAAACAATACCAGTAAATAATGTCACTATTGTATGTCACTGTTGTATGCCACTGCTGTATGTCACGGTTGTATGTCACTGTTGTATGTCACTGTTGTATGCCACTGTTGTATGTCACTGTTGTATGCCACTGTTGTATGTCACTGTTGTATGCCACTGCTGTATGCCACAGTTGTATGCCACTGTTGTATGTTGTCACTGTTGTATGCCACTGTTGTATGTCACTGTTGTATGCCACTGCTGTATGCCACAGTTGTATGCCACTGTTGTATGTTGTCACTGTTGTATGTCACTGTTGTATGCCACTGTTGTATGCCACTGTTGTATGTCACTGTTGTATGCCACTGTTGTATGTCACTGTTGTATGTCACTGTTGTATGCCACTGCTGTATGCCACTGTTGTATGCCACTGTTGTATGCCACTGTTATATGTCACTGTTGTATGCCACTGCTGTATGTCACTATTGTATGCCACTGTTGTATGTCACTGTTGTATGCCACTGTTGTATGCCACTGTTGTATGTCACTGTTGTATGCCACTGCTGTATGCCACTGTTGTATGCCACTGTTGTATGCCACTGTTGTATGTCACTGTTGTATGCCACTGTTGTATGCCACTGTTGTATGCCACTGTTGTATGCCACTGCTGTATGCCACTGTTGTATGTTGTCACTGTTGTATGTTGTCACTGTTGTATGCCACTGTTGTATGTCACTGTTGTATGCCACTGCTGTATGCCACAGTTGTATGCCACTGTTGTATGTTGTCACTGTTGTATGTCACTGTTGTATGCCACTGTTGTATGTCACTGTTGTATGTCACTGTTGTATGTCACTGTTGTATGCCACTGCTGTATGCCACTGTTGTATGCCACTGTTGTATGCCACTGAGGTATGCCACTGTTGTATGTCACTGTTGTATGTTGTCACTGTTGTATGTCATTGTTGTATGTCACTGTTGTATGCCACTGCTGTATGCCACAGTTGTATGCCACTGTTGTATGTTGTCACTGTTGTATGTCACTGTTGTATGCCACTGTTGTATGCCACTGTTGTATGTCACTGTTGTATGTCACTGTTGTATGCCACTGCTGTATGCCACAGTTGTATGTCACTGTTGTATGTCGCTGTTGTATATCACTGTTGTATGTCACTGTTGTATGTTGTCACTGTTGTATGTTGTCACTGTTGTATGTCACTGTTGTATGTTGTCACTGTTGTATGTCACTGTTGTATGTCATTGTTGTATGTCACTGTTGTATGTCACTGTTGTATGTTGTCACTGTTGTATGTCATTGTTGTATGTCACTGTTGTATGTCACTGTTGTATGTCACTGTTGTATGTTGTCACTGTTGTATGCCATTGTTGTATGTCACTGTTGTATGTCACTGTTGTATGTCACTGTTGTATGTCACTGTTGTATGTTGTCACTGTTGTATGTCACTGTTGTATGCCACTGAATCACAGGATCACTTCATGCCATAAAGCATCTTCTTCTTCTTCTGCCTATCTAGCCCCCAATGGCCCTCAACCAACTCACACCAAGTTGTTCTATCCTTTGCTATCGCAAGCAGCTCTCAACATCTTTCTAGCTTCATTCTCCAGCTCCGTAAAGCATTTTTTCCAGCTATACTGGCTTTAAATTTACTCTTGAGGAATTCCCATGATGTGTGATAACTGATGGGCTTCAAACTGTAACATTTCCACGGAAGACAAAAACAATCTGCCCGTATTTTCTTTTTTTATTCCAGCAGATCGGTTTCTTCTTCTGAGTATTTTGCCTTCTTGCCACGAAAAGGTTGTTGACTTTAAAATGTTTCTTCAAGAGCATCTTCCATTCCAATCCATCTCTAAAAATTTTGTTCTCATCCCTATCAGTTTCCTCCTAGCTGTTTGGTTTCCATTTTCTTGCACATAACACACTACTTACAATTTAAATTTACATCGGTAACTTGATCTTACACAGTTATTCTTTTGGTGTTTACAGGTACTACTGTTTCGGTCTCTCTCGATGAAATTCTAAGATAATAATTTTGTTCCTAAAATTATAATCTCAGAAATGGGGTGCGGCCTATCTCTTGATCTCATCTTCACTTCCTCTTTTACCGCTGTGGGTGTCGAGGGAGATAAAAGGTTCTGTTTCTAGCTCTTCTGGCTGCCTCGACCATAGGCACATCGTGCTGTTGTAGAGTTTCTCTGATGTTATCCTTCCATCTTGTTCTTGGTCTACCCCGTGCTCTACGTCCTTCTTCTGTTTCCATGTATGCTTTGTATGGTATGGTGTCACAAGGCATTCTCTCTAAGTGCGCAAACCATTTCACTTGCTGTCTTTTTATGTAATCCAGAATTGGTTCTGTGCCGACTTGTTCTCTTATGATCTCATTCCTGATCTTATCTCTTATGGTCACTCCTACAGCCCTTCTCAGACATCTCATTTCCGTGGTTACTAATTTTATTTTATGGTTTGTTGTGAGTGACCATGTCTGGCACTGGTAGCACAGAGTTGGAATAAATATGCTTTGAATAAGATGTCTCTTTGTGCTGATTGGGATTGTCTTATGCTGTAAGAGGCCTATACACGTGTAAATACAGTATAACAAGACAAAAATAACAACACACACAGTTCTATGTCAGATCACAACACATGAACTTATTTTTAGTCTTTCTTCACCTGACATTATTTTGACCAATCAGCATTCTGTTAATATCAAGCTCCAGAATTCTGGGAGTATGAAATGAATTTGGTTGTTGTTCCTTCCATGGATGCGATGTCTGTGTCTGAAAGTGCAAGAAACCAGTTCAAAATGTTGTTTTGTGCCATTACAGTTGATGTAATTTCAGTTTTTATTATGTCTTGAAAGATATTAATTCCTCAAGAGAATTTATTACTGTATTTATGTGAATTATATGTAACACAATAGAACCGATCAATCAAATATCTTTCTTAAATGTTTGTTGTATCCTAGACACAGCGTTATGGTCCAATATGTTTGCAATTGTTGTTGTGTTTGTTATTCAACCTACGCTCGGTTAACATAAATTTTTGTAACCTGTGGTGCCATTTCAATGGTTTGAGATGAATTTTTTCCGTATTCCATAATTGTGGGTTTTAGGCTGTATGATAGACATGGCCAATGAAGACACCATTTTTTTTAGGGGTGACTAGTTGGTCATGCTCTTAGTACACTTGTTTCCATAGCGAGGCACACATGCCATATGGAGGTGACAGGGTCGATTTCCAGTATGGTAACTATAGCTTTTGATTTGTATATTGTCTAGTGTGTCCTTTTACCTTTCTACTTCTTTCTATGAGTGCCAATCAATACACTATCTTTTATTACATGTAATATTTTTACAACCTCAAGGGTTCCCCCTCTGTTATTTATGGAATTATATCTTTACTGTAGAGGTCGGCCTCAACATCCTCTACCCATCTTATTGTAATATAACTTGCACTATGAAGGGCAGTTCTCGCCGGCACTTTTAGTATATGAAATACCTACCTCAACATTTAATACTGCCATTGTTTTTCAGTCATCAAATGTGACATAAGCAAGAAAATATTCTATTCTATCTACAGAATGGGAAGATCTGATATCAGGCAAATTTAAAATGAAAAAAAAACCCATTAAACTGGCCTCCAGGCCAATATAGCACAAAGGTACTAGGAAATGTCTAGAGAAGTAGAGCCAGCCATCACGGTGCTGATCCCTTCATGCTTCGAGTGCCAATCACTCTAAATAAATAGGGGTCTAGCATAATTTTCTTAGTGAATCACTAGTAAGTAAAGGGCCCTTTTGTGACCTACTTAACCAGTGACCTATCAGGCCTGCTCATTTTTTCTGCTATGGAACTGTTACCCTGTGTGATTCACATAGGTCTTCAAGTTTATCACTCTTATCTGAGAGGTACAGACGCCTTAGCTACACCATCATTAGGTCAGCGTTAATACAATCCCTTTTGCTTATTTATAAAAATTACAAAGAAATCACTGCGAGATGAGCCAGATTTGCCTCAGCCTGAGGTAGCATCTATTACATTTGATCTCTGGCTCCGAATGCAAGAGTTCAAACAATATACAGTGCAGACCTGACAGGGAGAACTCCCTGGGGACCCAATAAATAGTTCTTATCCAGATAAGAGTTTAGGCAAGAAACATTTCTGGGGATAAACAAACTGTTCTTCACAACAGAAATTCGTCATATCTGAGCGGCCTGCAATGTATTTTGTAAACAATCTTTTTATCACAAGGTTTATCAAAACCTAAACAACAGTATCAGTAAACAAAACAAAACAATTAAAAAAAAAAACACCTGCCATTGTTCTAGAACATACCATGTCACTTACATTCCAGGTGCTTTCTGGTGACCCTGAACCTAAAGTGACATGGCTGCCAGAGACCCTGAAGTCGCCATGATTGTGGCCTGTCTTTGTTTCTGGTGGGCAGGCGCTGGATGCCTTGGCAAGCTAATAAAAAAGAAATTAAATAAATGACATTCCACTCTATTGATCATCATGTGCCCTGCCAACTGGAATAGGCGCTTATGTGTCTCCACAGATCACGATTCTTGGTTGTCTGGAACTTTTGATCCTATTTTTTTAAAAATAACCTTGGCGTCCAGGTCAACCCAGCTTTAAATGGGTACTAAGTAAAGTCTGGGATGTGAGAGTGGCTGGCGTTACATTGACCAGGTCACTCACCGAGTGACAGTTGGGGAATATACATTACAGGACTAGCCCTATATGCCCACAACACCTGCAGCCGTGGAAGGGAGTCCTTTACGTTTTACTGAAACTGACCATAGCTGTTTGGCTTAAACTCTACGACACAATCACTAATGCAAAACTTTGAGAGAGAGCTAAATTAATTCTGGTGAATCAAGAGGTAAAGAAAAGAAGCTAGCACTAAATAGGTCACAGTGAGACAACCTGATAACAGTATCATTAGAATGCCTGTGTATAGGATTCTTGGCAGCTTTTTGACACGGAAATGTGTCAGCAGATGAACTGATACATGCTGTTGGAGATCTTAACTTGTGAAGAAGAGTGATCATCAACACCAGTCAGCAAGGCACAGATGATGTTGAATCCCACAGCAGATACTTCAGCTTTACTATCCATGTTTTTTTGTGTATTTTATTTGATTCTTACAGTATGCATATTATGTATGCATGGTGGGCATGATCGCCACGCCAGTCGGCAAGGCACCTGATAATGAATATGGGTATGCATTTTGTTATAGGAACATACCCTGTTCCTAAGAGAAATGTCTGGATAACCACTGGTATGAATGAATTATTAATGGAATGAAGCAAGCATTGACACCATTGCACAGACATGTTCTGTCTCCTCCAGTAACAAATGAAGAGATCCCATGCTAACAGTACTAGCTGCAACCTGACTGTGTCTGCCTGTTTTCCCCATCAGCACTGAATATTGCCCAGAACCCCAGCTTGCCCTCACCCCCCAAAGCTGAATTAATCTTTCAAGATGTAGATACTCTGTCTGTTCTATTTGCACTATCTGCTTGATCCCAGGGAGTTTTCACCATGTCTGCTTTATCATAAAGTAGCTCATCACCCAGAGAACAAATCGCAGCTAATCTCTCAGCTTGCTCATTACTTTGCACACTCAATTCTCCTAAGCAAAAAAAAAAATCCACGACATGTTGCTGATGTGAGTCTTATCAAGTGGAGTGAGCAACTCTACGAAGGATGCCTGTTTCTTTCTTCCAAAGCATGCTCGGTAAGCAATTACAAGATGTCAGGCTGTGCTGTTCTCAAGCCATCCAAAAGTTTCTGTTACTGCCTCCAAATATTTTCTCATTCTTGATGTAGTGACGCTATATGTCAGGCTCTCTGTTTTCAAACAGTGACCTTTCAGCCTGCAATAAGACCACACCCACTCTTTTGACTTCTCACTAAAGACCAATAGCTATCCAGTCCCAGCACTCTCGATCCAAGGTAACTATCCATCTGTGTGCAGCAGCTTTGCCCCTTGTATCAACAGTTATAAAACAAGGAATATAGCTGGACACATCCTAAAGAGAAGCAAACAGAAAATCACTAGACCCATCCTAAGGAGAAGCAAACAGAAAATCACTGGACCCATCCTAAGGAGAAGCAAACAGAATATCACTGGACCCATCTTAAGGAGAAGCAAACAGAATATCACTGGACCCATCTTAAGGAGAAGCAAACAGAATATCACTGGACCCATCCTAAGGAGAAGCAAACAGAATATCACTGGACCCATCTTAAGAAGAAGCATACAGAATATCATTGGACCCATCTTAAGGAGAAGCAAACAGAAAATCACTGAACACATCCTAAGGAGAAGCAAACAGAAAATCACTAAACACATCCTAAGGAGAAGCAAACAGAAAATCACTGGACACATCCTAAGGAGAAGCAAACAGAAAATCACTAAACACATCCTAAGGAGAAGCAAACAGAAAATCACTGGACCCATCCTAAAGAGAAGCAAACAGAAAATCACTAAACCCATCCTAAGGAGAAGCAAACAGAAAATCACTGGACCCATCCTAAGGAGAAGCAAACAGAATATCACTGGACCCATCTTAAGGAGAAGCAAACAGAATATCACTGGACCCATCTTAAGGAGAAGCAAACAGAATATCACTGGACCCATCCTAAGGAGAAGCAAACAGAATATCACTGGACCCATCTTAAGAAGAAGCATACAGAATATCACTGGACCCATCTTAAGGAGAAGCAAACAGAATATCACTGGACCCATCCTAAGGAGAAGCAAACAGAATATCACTGGACCCATCTTAAGAAGAAGCATACAGAATATCATTGGACCCATCTTAAGGAGAAGCAAACAGAAAATCACTGGACCCATCCTAAGGAGAAGCAAACAGAAAATCACTGGACCCATCCTAAGGAGAAGCAAACAGAAAATCACTGGACCCATCCTAAGGAGAAGCAAACAGAATATCACTAAACACATCCTAAGGAGAAGCAAACAGAAAATCACTGGACATATCCTAAGGAGAAGCAAACAGAATATCACTAAACACATCCTAAGGAGAAGCAAACAGAAAATCACTGGACACATCCTAAGGAGAACAGAAAATCATCAAACAGGCACTTTAATGGGAAAGAAATGGATTCAGGAGATATGGATACCCACAAGAAACCCTAAGACAACATTGATGAGAGAGACAAAAAGGGCTGGACTGGATTCCATCCATGACAAGGAAGCAATTGCACAGAACACAATGGATGAATAAACTGTAAGCCTTATGTGACAAGGGAGCAACAGGGTGGTGTGGATGATGATGTAAATTATCTCTGTCTGTCACTAACACTAACAAATCATCCAGAGATATGTGATACAGCCATGAAGTCAAACTGCTCTCACTGTATGAGGCTGCTTCTGAGACAGGTCCTCCTCAGTTCTCGTGAGATGATAGTTTGAGCTTGTTGTTGGCACTGCAACAAAAGAGCTCCCTGTCTCTGAGAATGGAGCCATCCTGCGGTGCCGATGCCGAATTGGCCGACTTAGCTTGCTTACATGGTCTAGCTTTGCTTCTCTGAAACAATTAAACAATTATGAACAACAGTCGTACAGAATGAAATAATAATACAGAATGAGCAATCTTCTTGGCGTTCACTGGCTGTAATCTCCAGAAAGTTCTGGTTTTTCATCCACTTCTAGACTTGTTCCAGAACCTGAGTTTTGCATGCATGTCTGTTTTACAGATCTGGCTTATTTGTATACAGACTATTAATTCCCCGCCTCTCGCTTTGAGTTGGAAGGAAACACCCCTAATTAGACCTTCACGACATGCTTGCTAGTGGGCAGTGGTTCTATTCCCCCCTTTCCATCCCCTCCCTCCCCAGTGGGGCCTCGGAATCCAAATTGCAGGGCTATACAAAAGTAGTAATAAAGAAATGGGTACTCTTCTTCTGCTGCATTCACATTTAAAAGGGCCGCTGGCATGCAGTATTGCCGTTTACAGCTAAACTGCAGTATCTGCGCTTTCAGCCCAACAGACTTCACTTCAGCAAACTCCTAATTTGTTGCCTTTTATGCTAGGCTTGTTGAAGGGTGGTAGTGGGTCTATGTTTGCTCATTCTTCCAAAATGGGGTCCACAGCCCATAAATGGATGTCGGATATTCAAAACGTAGTAAGCTATTTTGAAGTTTAAAAATAAAGTAGTAATACCTAATATAGTTTCATAAAACTATCAAGTAAAACATGATGAAGTAGTTAAAAAGTAGTAATAAAGAATGAAATATTGAAAAAAGTAGTAATACAGAATAAAGTATTACAAACTGGAGTAGATACTTATTTACCCCTTTATGCCTCGTCTTTCACAAATTTGTAAACACCTGTGGTTTTAAAATGTTCTGAAATTCATTAAAGGAATCTTTCCCTGTCTTTAGTTATGTCCTGACATAAAAGGAATCTTTCCCTGTCTTTAGAAATGTCCTGACATAAAAGGAATCTTTCCCTGTCTTTAGAAATGTCCTGACATAAAAGGACTCTTTCCCTGTCTTTAGAAATGTCCTGACATAAAAGGAATCTTCACCTGTCTTTAGTAATGTCCTGACATAAAAGGAATCTTCACCTGTCTTTAGTAATGTCCTGACATAAAAGGAATCTTCACCTGTATTTAGAAATGTCCTGACATAAAAGGAATCTTCACCTGTCTTTAGTAATGTCCTGACATAAAAGGAATCTTTCCCTGTCTTTAGTAATGTCCTGACATAAAAGGAATCTTTCCCTGTCTTTAGTAATGTCCTGACATAAAAGGAATCTTCACCTGTTTTTAGTAATGTCCTGACATTAAAGGAATCTTTCCCTGTCTTTAGTAATGTCCTATCATTAAAGGAATCTTTCCCTGTCTTTAGTAATGTCCTGACATAAAAGGAATCTTCACCTGTCTTTAGTAATGTCCTGACATAAAAGGAATCTTCACCTGTCTTTAGTAATGTCCTGACATAAAAGGAATCTTCACCTGTCTTTAGTAATGTCCTGACATAAAAGGAATCTTCACCTGTCTTTAGTAATGTCCTGACATAAAAGGAATCTTCACTTGTCTTTAGAAATGTCCTGACATAAAAGAAATAATCGCCTGCTTTTAGCAATGTTCTGATATAAAAGGAATATTCGCCTGCTTTTAGAAATGTTCTGATACAAAAGGAATAATCACCTGCCCCTGTATGAATACATTGGCTTGATGAGAAAAATGCCAGATTCTTGCTCAATGCTGTCCAAGGTATCCATGAGCAAGTTTGCCAGTTTGAGTCTCTCAGCTCCCATTCCATTCATTCTTTCTGCCCACTGTCGGGTTCTCTGGAGGAAAAGAAATACTTCATTAAAAAAATAACACAGCTGTCAACAGTTTGATAAAAATGAACTCTTTTAATATCAGGCAGTTTCCTGGCATATGCTCAAGATGGGGAAAAACTTTTCCTCTTTTGCATTCAATCTTCAACAAGTGACTGGAAAGTTGTGTTAAGGTTTATATCTTGGCTGCAATATTTGCAACCTTTAGCACAAAATATTAGATTTCAGCAAACCCTTAAAAAGTGGTTTTATGACATGCTTGTCAGTCAGGAAGCATATTGGGTTTATTCTTAAATTTTTGTCTAAGCCTCTTAACATGTGATTAACAGAGTTGTGAACAGATCCCCAGAGTCTAGATCACTGGTCTCCAACCTTTTTCAGGTAGTGGTGCCCCCACAAAATATACAAGGACCCCCCTCTCCCCAATCCTGGAGTATATGGTAAGAAACCTGACTTCAATTAAAAAAATGTGATTAAAAACAAAAACAAAAGGAAGACAAAAATCAAAATCCGAAGTATGTTAACAAGAACTGTGAGAAAAACACTCACATAATTCAAAGTGTCAAATAACAAAATAAACAATAACCAACAACTGGTAAATTAATGTCTAAATGTCAATGTGATGGTTGACACCTTTTTTGTCTTGATTGTATCGGCTGTTTCTGGTCTGATGTTGGATAGCGGACAATGAAGATCACTCTCCTCACCAAGCTGGCAACACTGTTTTGTTTTCATGATTGCTGAAGCTGAAAATCCTGATTATTACAAGTACAGACGTACTCAATTTAAAAACTGCTTAACACAACATCTTGAAAGTTCTTTACGCCACCTGGCGGGTGGGGGGAGCTCCTCAAGTTGGAGACCACTGGTCTAGATACGAGTAAAAAGATGCAAAGTGGAGTTATCTGGGAATCTTACCACCAGTGAGCGCACCTAGAAAAAGTACAAAGAACAGATAATCTTAATACTGGAAATCTATGCTGGCTGCTGAAGATGGGATGAAGCATTTCTGGAAATTACCCGAGTTAACTCAACTCAACTCAGTTCAACTCAACTCAACTCAGTTCAACTCAACTCAACTCAACTCAGTTCAACTCAACTCAACTCAGTTCAACTCAACTCAACTCAGTTCAACTCAATTCAACTCAACTCAACTCAACTCAGTTCAACTCAACTCAACTCATTTCAACTCAACTCAACTCAACTCAACTCAGTTCAACTCAACTTAAATTAACTCAAACTAACTCAGCTATAGAACTTGCCTGATACTGTAGATTCTCCACCTTGTCAAGAGCATGTAGAACCTCTTGTGTCATCCTGGCACTTTTCTTGACTTTTTCTGTTAGTTTTACAGTTGTTGACAACAAAAACAGCCATCATCAAAAATGTGAAATTATTGCTGGCTAGTTTAAAAAAGAGGCTATTATCTCTTCCTTCTTCTCACCGTCCTCGTACTTCCTTCACCATGATTGTTCTTTTTCTTCTTATTTTCTTCTTGTGCCGCTTCAGGTCTCATGAAAGATATAAGGCTTTGGTTCTTAGTCTTCTGGCCGCTACCATAGACACCTTGTGCTGTTGTGGAGTTTCTCTGATATCATCTGTCCATCTTGTTCTTGCTCTAACACCTGCACTATGTCCCTGTCTTCTTTTGGTGTATGACTTCTATATTAAAGCATCAAAAGGCATCTCTCAATATGGGCAAACCATTTTATTTGCTGTCTTCATGTGTTATTTAGAATTAGTTCTGTGCTGACATTTTCTCTTATGACCTCATTCCCAATTTTATCTCTTCTGGTCATTCCTGCAGCCTTTCTTAGACACCATATTTCCATAATTACTAATTCATCATGATTGTATGTCAAAAGTAAATATGCCTTTCCTAAAGAAAATTAAAAACACCATAACTAAATTATACATTGTGATTATAGTTGTCTCCATGTAGGATGCAATTTTTCATTATTTGAAGCCCCACCCTGGCTTTTGCCGGGGGCCCTGAATATAGCCGGGCCACGAATGTGGCCATAATGGCTGAAAGGAGTTTTTGGGACCTCTCCACAGGGTGATCCTCATCTGCATGGTGGCACTTTGTGTCACCGGGTGTTTATCACTTGTGTAATGTCCTGGTGGGGTACAACAAGCAAGCAAGCAAGCATAACTAAAAGAAAAGTAAAGGACCCTTTTCTCACATCTTCAAGTGTATTGGGCAAAATAAGCGAGGCCTGTGTATTATAGATCAATCAGCACTTGGTGGGGGAGTGTTCAGCATCAAGCCATACAAATATAAACTACAAATCTTCTTGATTTTAACTGGGTTACTTCTTCTTTTTATAGCCAATGCTGTGTGGTTTTGGTAGTCATGTCTGTCACCAACACTCTGTCTCGCAGACTTTCAATGAACACTGACAGATGATCTTGCATGCCATGATGTCAAACTGTCCAGCATCTTCTCTCTCAGTCTCTCCCTGCATCTTTTCCCCTCCTACCTTCCCACCATCATAATGTACTCATTTTCTCCTTCTCATGATATGACTATAGAATGTAAATTGTCTCCTGATAAGGGCAATGAAGTCACTTTGTAATTCAGTTTCTTTCAAGACGTCTTCATTACTCTTTTTTTTTAAACTCTTTTTATTTGCCTAGGGTATTCTCATCATTTGCGAATAAAACTACATCTCTGCAGCTTCCAAATAATTTGTCACTAATCATCCAATTGTGCATGATTCACTTTCATATATTGGATTGGATTTATGTAGCTCTTGAGAATTTTCTGTCTTGTCTCAACTGACAAAGAAAGACTGCATATAATATGCTTCATTTGGTAAAATACTTCCTTTGCTTCAGCTATACTACATTTTACTTTTTAAAATAAATCTTCTAACTGCTGTTTTCAGGGTACCTAAGTACCTAGTACTTACATATATCAACTTGCTTAAGGAAACTGGGTGACATGTTGGTTATATAGTGCTATTGCAATAATTTTATAGACCAACTGACACACGATGGGTAATATGATCAAAGACACACCAGCCACGTTCACTTCCTAAACAATGTCAGGCTGCACTGACCTGGGTGTCTAGTCCAAGAGCCCACCTACTCTCACCCCACAATCAAGCACCACTCTAAAAATTGTTTACTACAGACAGTAAAGACAATTTGTTTTGTATAGACCACTCTAAAAATTGTTTACTACAGACAGTAAAGACAATTTGTTTTGTATAGACCACTCTAAAAATTGTTTACTACAGACAGTAAAGACAATTTGTTTTGTATAGACCACTCTAAAAATTGTTTACTACAGACAGTAAAGACAATTTGTTTTGTATAGACCACTCTAAAAATTGTTTACTACAGACAGTAAAGACAATTTGTTTTGTATAGACCACTCTAAAAATTGTTTAATACAGACAGTAAAGACAATTTGTTTTGTATAGGTTACCTTTCATTGTTCCACAAAGAGAAACATAACTTTTGTGTTGATTTTAATAAATAAGTACTTATAAATAAGTTGTTTTTCACTGAGTGAAACTAGAGACTGCAAAGTTCCAATGATCAAAACTGACGATTCCTTTTGAAATCAGAGTGCATCTGCTTGAGAGCTGAGGAACCAACAGTCTGCATACAAATAAGCCAATTCTGTAAAACTGATGTACAAGTAACACTCAAGTTCTAAAGTCCAAAAGTGGATGAACAACCAGTACTTTATATCGAAGTTTACAGCTGTCGAATGATGAATACAAAAAACAAAACAAAAACTATAGAAAGATGAGGAGAAGGGCAGAAAAAGATGTGCAAAAACAACCAAATGTTTTAACCAGAGTCTTTATCAATGGATAAAACAACATAATTACAACCAATAAGGTCAACAAGGAACTGGAAATACATAACTGGAAAAATATCTACTGTTTGTCTCCATTTAAAATTTCGGCTACGGGAAAATACTGGCTGCAAAGTTCCAATGTTGCTAACTGGTAAGTAATTGTTTCCCTTTCTCTTCCTTTTAAATGAATTTTAATTTCTAGTAATTAATACAGATGAATACAAAATGTTAATTTTACTGGACAGAAGTGGCAAAGGACTTGAATGAGGAACTGCTAGATCAAAGTCTCTAACCAACTTACATTTCAAAAAAGAATTTTCTTTATTTTTTTTAAATTCACATTTTACATGCAAAATACTATATGTATGTGTGTGTTTGCATTTATTTGCATGCAAATATATGTAAAGTACCTTCAGTTTCCCGCAGATGTCTGTGGTGCACATATTTTCTCACAAGATTTCCCAAGCGCCTGGCAGGAAGACTAACGTATTCATCCATTTTGGACACAGCCTCCTGGGAGAAACAGTATATTATATTATGCAAAAGTTGTTTTTCTTTCTGTCTGTCTGTCTTTCTTTCTTTCTTATTTTCTTTTTTTTTTCCTTAATTCGTTTAACAATAAACAAAACAAAAAGAAATTTTAATGCTCAAATTTGAGAGGACCAACCAAGTTTTATCCCATATATGGCTCAGTTTCTCTGCCGAACAACAAACTACCTGCTGAGAGCATTGCACAAAGCACAAACTCAATAGCTCTAGCAATGATCCTAAAGATCTAATTAAATGAGCTTATAAACCCAATGAGGCAGTCCATTAAGGAAAAGAGACAAACTGTGAAATGGACCCAGCATTTTAGAGTGCGAGGTAAGTAACTTAGCCACTTATCTGTGAAGACATTAAATTATGTAACCATTAAAAATAAATGTTGGCTACTAAATGTAACATTTGTTAAGATGTTAGCAATAGACAATTTGAAAACTGACAGAAAGAGAACAAGAAGACAGAACAGGAAATGTCAGTAAAGGGCCCATGTTTATCCCAGTGGTGCATGTGGGGTGCAAGGGGTGATTGGGTCAACACTCAAGGGGTGATGTGGTCAACACTCATGGGGTGATGCGGTCAACACTCAAGGAGTGATGTGGTCAACATTCAAGGGATGATGTGGTCAACACTCATGGGGTGATGTGGTCAACACTCAAGTGGTGATGTGGTCAACACTCATGGGGTGATGCGGTCAACATTCAAGGAGTGATGTGGTCAACATTCAAGGGGTGATGTGGTCAACATTCAAGGGGTGATGCGGTCAACATTCAAGGGGTGATGTGGTCGACACTCAAGAGGTGATGTGGTCAACACTCAAGGAGTGATGTGGTCAACATTCAAGGGGTGATGTGGTCAACACTCAAGGGGTGATGTGGTCAACACTCAAGGAGTGATGTGGTCAACATTCAAGGGGTGAAGTGGTCAAAACTCAAGGAGTGATGTGGTCAACATTCAAAGGGTGATGTGGTCAACACTCAAGGGGTTATATGGTCAACACTCAAGAAGTGATGTGGTCAACATTCAAGGGGTGATGTGGTCAACACTCAAGGGGTGATGTGGTCAACACTCAAGGGGTGATGTGGTCAACATTCAAGGGGTGATGTGGTCGACACTCAAGGGGTGATGTGGTCAACACTCAAGGGGTAATGTAGTCAACACTCAAGGGGTGATGTGGTCAACATTCAAGGGGTGATGCATTTAACATTCAAGGGGTGATGTGGTCGACACTTAAGGGGTGATGTGGTCGACATTCAAGGGGTGATGTGGTCAACATTCAAGGGGTGATGTGGTCAACACATTTAAGGAGTGATGTGGTCGACACTCAAGGGGTGATGTGGTCAACACATTTAAGGAGTGATGTGGTCAACACTCAAGGGGTGATGTGGTCGACATTCAAGGGGTGATGTGGTCAACATTCAAGGGGTTATGTGGTCAACACTCAAGGAGTGATGCGGTCAACATTCAAGGGGTGATGTGGTCAACATTCAAGGGGTGATGTGGTCAACATTCAAGGAGTAATGTGTTTAACATTCAAGGGGTGATGTGGTCAACATTCAAGGAGTAATGTGTTTAACATTCAAGGGGTGATGTGGTCAACACTCAAGGGGTGATGTGGTCAACACTCAAGGGGTGATGTGGTCGACACTCAAGGGGTGATGTGGTCGACATTCAAGGGGTGATGTGGTCAACATTCAAGGAGTAATGTGTTTAACATTCAAGGGGTGATGTGGTCAACACTCAAGGGGTGATGTGGTCAACACTCAAGGGGTGATGTGGTCGACACTCAAGGGGTGATGTGGTCAACACTCAAGGGGTGATGTGGTCAACACATTTAAGGAGTGATGTGGTCGACACTCAAGGGGTGATGTGGTTATCCATTTTAAGCTGGGCTGACATGGCAGCCAAAGTAAATTTAGAAAAAAAAATCTGACTTGATGCAGATTTGAACCCTAGACCTTTGTGCCATCAGGCAAGCATCTAGACACTGTGCTAATGTGGCAGCCACCGTGCTACTGTGGCTCCTACTGGGAAGGTAACAGGCAGAAGACAAAAATAAAGAGTGGAGACAGGTGTTGAAAGAGAGAGAGGGAGTGAAGGGAGACAGAGGGAAGTCAGAAACAGAGACATTAGAAATAGAGGAAGACAGATTCACAAAGAAATACAGACAGTAAAAATAAAAAATAAAATACTGACAGGCACTGGCAGACGGAAGGATGGATAGAAGGACAAACAGTTAAACAGACAGAAAAATCAACAGATAGGCAGGCAAAAAGACAGATAATATACATAGAAGAATACATACAGATAAATAAGCAAGCAAGTTAGCAGGTAGACAGACAGATAGAGAGACAGAAATATAGACTGATACACAGATAGATATATAAAGGAAAGAATAGATATATGGACAAACTGAAAGAACTGACTCATTTTCTCAATCATATCTTCCTCTAGTACAAACCTTGTATTTTTCAGGATCTAGTTTCTCCTCCATCACTGCTTTCTTCATGATCTTTGCATTTCTCTCGGAGTCCAGACGGGTGAAGAGTACCGATGTTTCTGGAGATGGTGACTGTTGCTGAACCTGATCAATACATGAAAGATGGCACCTGGTTTCACTCTTGTATAGTTGGAAACCATAAAAATGTGGACTGGCCTAGCCAATCGCTTAGGAGATCCCTGTATGGGTACTGGGGCCCCATTTGGGGGTGGAGAAGGGGAAGTTGGGGGTGAGAAACATTGCCCCTCTAACAAGTATATTGAAAAATGTGACTAGTTAAGAATGTTTTTTGTTGGAGTTCATCGCCTGAGAGGCAAGGATCCAATAGTCTGCATACAAATAAGCCAGATCTAGAAAAAAAAAAAGTAACATGCAAAACCCGTTATCAAACAAGACCAAAGTCCAGAAGTGGAAGAACAACCCAAACTTTTCATCTGAGTTCACAGAAGGTGAAAGTGAAAAAGAAGAAGAAGAGGATGTGAAAGAAGAATGTGATTTGACAGCATAGTTTTGCATTGATTTTAACAGTGGTATGAAATTGTCTATTTAGAGGCAATGGCAAACTACCAAAAGTAAAATTGCCTAGTAAAACTATAAACATTTATCAAATGCTGGGGTTTGAAAAAGCCGGTTTCAGAGATGAATGGAGGTTTGTGATACCACTGTTGCAGTGTAGGCAGGGCGGTCTTCAAGGATGAGGATTTACGGCCGCTTGGATGGTGCTGTCGTCATGACTGTGCAGGTAAGGCCCCCCCCCCCCCCCCCCCCCTGACAGAAACAATTTTCAGCCTTACCGAGGATTTGAACCCGGGTCTCCGGCGTATGAGCCCAGCGTTTTAACGATACAGCCAGCCGCTCCTCACTATTTTGTTACCAACATAATCTAATCTTGTTTAAAGGGAGAGAAGAAAAAAAATTCAAACAAATCAACACGTACTTACTTCAATGTTTTCTGGTAGAGCTGATTTGGACTTGATGTTGATTTTACCCGCAGAAGACAGCTCTTTCTGGAGTTCTAGTATTGTGTCCTGCATCTCCTGCATGACGGCAGAGTTGCGTCTATACACAGAAACAATGCAAGAATTTTTTAAACACTGAAGCAATACAAGAATCATCTAAACATCGAAACAATACAAGAATCATCCACGCGCATCTTAACCTTACGTCCTTTTTAGGACGTAATTTTTTGTTATTTGAAGCCCCACTCTGGCTTTTGCCAGGGGCCGCAATATAGGCAGGCCATAAATATGGCCAATTGTCTGAACACGGTTTCTGGGACCTCTCCACGGTGATCCTCATCCACATGGTGGCACTTTGTGTCATCGGGTGTTTATCGCTTGTGTGATGTCCTGGTGGGGTAGAAATTCATTCATTCATCATCCACGCAACAATGCAAAGTCTATTGATACTTGGACCATGATGTAGCCATTTATTCTCTCTTTCTGTCTCTCACATTTGTTTGCCACATTCATCTTCAATTAACTCATGCCAAGCCCTTTGTATTGGGTGTTTCGCTTGGGCAGAAACTAGTATGTCATTCATAACTCAGACACTATTAAAGATTTGGCAATGAAATTTGGAGTGGACATACCTCCGTTCATGCAAAGTTGGGTGACATCATAACAGGTACTGCTAATAGCCAGCATTGGTGCCCAGGCAGCATTGGACGCAGCATTTCATGACATGGAAGTATCGTCTCAGTATGTCAGGTGTCACTGCTTGGATGACCACAATGATGTTTGCCAGTGGTGGCCATTTCCAGCAACTGTTATGATGTCACCCAACTTCGCACGAACAGAGGTAAGTCCACTCCAAATTTCACTGCCATATCTTTATTAATGTCTGACTTATGAACGACATACTGGGTTCCGCCCTGTGTGAAACACCTACTATAAATGAATGAATGCATCAAGAAATGACACCACTGTTCTTGGGACATTCCTTTATGTGCCCCAACCTCTTTTTTTAGTAGCCATCGAAGAGTTCCTTTACTGATGATGCCAGATGCAATTTGATTAAATGTTTGCCCTGGTTGTTTTGTTTTTTCCCGCTGAAAGTAGAACATCGTCCAGACCTTCTGTTGGCTCCCAGCTGAATCATTATCTGCACATACTGGTACTCTGTTGCACCATTCTGCACTCTTGCACTGATCCTAGACAGCCTTCACCACACCAGCTTTATCATACAGTAGCTCACCACCTTGTGTAGACTTGTACATGATTTGCTGGATTTTACAGCTACATTCTTCTTACGATGAAGTATCCAGTCTAAATCCAACCTTCCTAAGTTGCCTTGTATGACATGAATGGTGAAGTGTTAATATTTTTTTCTTCTCCATGATGAATAATAGAAAAAATAGATGGAAGAGAAGAAGCAGAAGGAAGAAGCAGTAGGAGGAGATGATAGAAGGAGAGGAGGAAGAGGAGGAGGAACAAGGAGAAGATTGGGGAAGGGGAAGAAAAGCAGGAGGAAAAGGAAGAGAAATGTGCACAGGAAGAGAGGTTTGTTGGCTATAAATAATCTTCACACCTGTGAGTTTGTAAGTCCAATGCATTTATATTAAGTTTGTCAAGCTCTGAGACTAACTGGCGGGAAGCATCATGAGACTAACAGGCGGGAAGCATCAGAGAGTTTCCAAGAGATTACATTTTTTACAAACATCATTTAGAGGGGTTTTCTAGAGACAAAATAGCTCTATTTAGGGAAATTATGATGTCATATTTTCCACATTAGTCTAGGGCTACAGGGTGACCACAGCACATAATTGTCACACTATAACTGTGTTTTAAAGCTCACAGATAGATACTTATCTACTGCATTTGTGGTATATAAATACTCCCTTACATCTGTATGGTATTTGTTTTGTTTTTTAGTCAATATATATATTTTTTTAATATGTCAAATGGTTGTTTTCTTTTAAAGGATATTTCAGGAGAGTTTCAGAAACAGGGAGTGATGGGATCTCGGGAGGGTGGGGGCATGGGCTTCTCCTTCAAAGCTGGCATACATTTACCTGAGAGGAAGGCCACCAAAAGTCTGTATACAAATAAGCCAGATCTGTCAAATGGATGTGCATGTAAAAGTCAAGTTCTTGAACAAGACTCAAGCCCAGAAGTGGATGAATAACCAGAACTTTCCACGGGAGTTTACAGACGCTAAACACTAAGAAGAAGTACTAGAAGAAGAAGAATTGTTGACAGGCTCAAACCAATGTCAAAAAAGTGTCTCTTAAGAGAGGTAAAAAGATAACATTTTGAGTCTCATTCAGCTTCTGAGACCCTGAGGTTCACCGTTGTAGATATCTCCCACCTGAAATCGTCCATTCGGTGGCTCCAAATGTTTGTAGGGATGCCAGTATATTATCTCCCTTGTCTGATCTGCCTCATTAGCATTTTTTTTCAATTCAGTTTCGTCCTTTTTAGGACGAAATATTTTGTTATTTGAAGCCCCACCCTGGCTTTTGCCAGGGGCCGCAATATAGGCAGGCCATAAATATGGCCAAATGTCTGAACGCGGTTTCTGGGACCTCTCCACGGCGATCCTCATCCACATGGTGGCACTTTGTGTCATCAGGTGTTTATCGCTTGTGTGATGTCCTGGTGGGGTAGTGTCGCGTGCGAATGTGCACCAGAACGCACCGGTACGGAGTGAGCAAATAAGACGTCAAAACAATACGTAACGTTGTTATGTTATTGTCGTCAAAAGCAGTTGATGTTTATAGTCCGAAGGAGACGGACGTGTGGATCCCTGAGGACGCTTTACCCCGGGATCCCACGGAAGCAAACGTTATATGAAGTTGAAGTTGGATCCTTGAGGACGTTTTACCCCGGGACTCCAAGACCTCAGCAGGAAGCTGGTAAACGTTACATTTTCGGCAGTATGCCGGTATACTTTCATTGCTTAATTCGGACTTGTCCGAGGACCAAGATGATTGTCATGATCTCAAGGTCGGACTGCGACCTATCGTGAGGACATATCAATACATGGATGTACGAGCGAGCTTTAGTTGAACGAGTTGATTATTACTTGCATATGTATTCTTGAAATTGATCATTGCATTTGTCAATACACAAATGGAACTTTTAAAGAGAGTTCTTGTTCTACTACGTTGGAAGCTTCAGCATTCATCATGTTCTGTTACTCTTGGCCAGTGGCATGTTAAGTGTTGATGCCATTTGATACATTGCGACACCCCTAGTCACTTTTAAGCTTGTCACAATCCATCAAGCATACGCAACGTTTTGGTACACTCGTCACAAAGAAGTTCCGCACGTAACAGGTAGAAAGTCAGTCAGTCACCTGCCTCATGGTCTACTTCTATTATACTCTTTTTGTGTACTCAGTTTTTGTCTCTCTGTCATTCTCTCTATCTGCCCTAATCATTGCAGTCTATTAGCTCTCTATATGCCCTAATCATTGCAGTCTATTAGCTCTCTATCTGCCCTAATCATTGCAGTTATTAGCTCTCTATCTGCCCTAATCATTGCAGTCAATTAGCTCTCTATCTGCCCTAATCATTGCAGTCTATTAGCTCTCTATCTGCCCTAATCATTGCAGTCTATTAGCTCTCTATCTGCCCTAATCATTGCAGTCAATTAGCTCTCTATCTGCCCTAATCATTGCAGTCTATTAGCTCTCTATCTGCCTTAATCATTGCAGTCTATTAGCTCTCTATCTGCCCTAATCATTGCAGTCTATTAGCTCTCTATCTGCCTTAATCATTGCAGTCTATTAGCTCTCTATCTGCCCTAATCATTGCAGTTATTAGCTCTCTATATGCCCTAATCATTGCAGTCAATTAGCTCTCTATATGCCCTAATCATTGCAGTCTAATAGCTCTCTATCTGCCCTAATCATTGCAGTCTATTAGCTCTCTATATGCCCTAATCATTGCAGTCTATTAGCTCTCTATCTGCCCTAATCATTGCAGTCTATTAGCTCTCTATCTGCCCTAATCATTGCAGTCTATTAGCTCTCTATCTGCCCTAATCATTGCAGTCTATTAGCTCTCTATCTGCCCTAATCATTGCAGTCTATTAGCTCTCTATATGCCCTAATCATTGCAGTCTATTAGCTCTCTATATGCCCTAATCATTGCAGACTATTAGCTCTCTATCTGCCTTAATCATTGCAGACTATTAGCTCTCTATCTGCCCTAATCATTGCAGTCTATTAGCTCTCTATCTGCCCTAATCATTGCAGTCTATTAGCTCTCTATCTGCCCTAATCATTGCAGTCTATTAGCTCTCTATCTGCCCTAATCATTGCAGTCTATTGGCTCTCTATCTGCCCTAATCATTGCAGTCTATTAGCTCTCTATCTGCCCTAATCATTGCAGTTATTAGCTCTCTATCTGCCCTAATCATTGCAGTCTATTAGCTCTCTATCTGCCCTAATCATTGCAGTCTATTAGCTCTCTATATGCCCTAATCATTGCAGTCTATTAGCTCTCTATATGCCCTAATCATTGCAGACTATTAGCTCTCTATCTGCCTTAATCATTGCAGACTATTAGCTCTCTATCTGCCCTAATCATTGCAGTCTATTAGCTCTCTATCTGCCCTAATCATTGCAGTCAATTAGCTCTCTATCTGTCCTAATCATTGCAGTCTATTAGCTCTCTATCTGCCCTAATCATTGCAGTCTATTAGCTCTCTATCTGCCCTAATCATTGCAGTCTATTAGCTCTCTATCTGCCCTAATCATTGCAGTTATTAGCTCTCTATATGCCCTAATCATTGCAGTCAATTAGCTCTCTATATGCCCTAATCATTGCAGTCTAATAGCTCTCTATCTGCCCTAATCATTGCAGTCTATTAGCTCTCTATATGCCCTAATCATTGCAGTCTATTAGCTCTCTATATGCCCTAATCATTGCAGTCTATTAGCTCTCTATCTGCCCTAATCATTGCAGTCTATTAGCTCTCTATCTGCCCTAATCATTGCAGTTTATTAGCTCTCTATCTGCCCTAATCATTGCAGTCAATTAGCTCTCTATATGCCCTAATCATTGCAGTCTAATAGCTCTCTATCTGCCCTAATCATAGCAGTCTATTAGCTCTCTATCTGCCCTAATCATTGCAGTCTATTAGCTCTCTATATGCCCTAATCATTGCAGTTATTAGCTCTCTATATGCCCTAATCATTGCAGTCTATTAGCTCTCTATCTGCCCTAATCATTGCAGTCTATTAGCTCTCTATCTGCCCTAATCATTGCAGTCAATTAGCTCTCTATATGCCCTAATCATTGCAGTTATTAGCTCTCTATCTGCCCTAATCATTGCAGTCTATTAGCTCTCTATCTGCCCTAATCATTGCAGTCTATTAGCTCTCTATCTGCCCTAATCATTGCAGTCTATTAGCTCTCTATCTGCCCTAATCATTGCAGTCTTTTAGCTCTCATGATGCCAATAACTAGTGGTGATCTGACAGAGTATACATATAATAAATCACCAAGAAACTGTGTCATATCTTGTGCAAACAGAAACTCACAGAATCTGTGCTTTGTGATTCTGTCCATCCTGCATAAGTTGCTCTCTCCTGAAAGGAAAAACAAAAACTATTGAAACAGAGATGAAATATATAAAGAATATTTAATGTGAAAGTAAACAAAAAAAATTGTAAAAGCAACAACAGAGGACTCTGTTTAGATCAGTGGAGCAGAGAGCATATAATGCTGGACCTATGTGTATCATCCAATCAGCAATCAATGGGTGATTCTGTCAACATGACACTGACTAACCTGTTGCTACAGGCATTTCCTGCTCATTATTTTAGGCTGGGCACATTTAAAATACATTCTCACTCAGTGTGGATTTAAATCCAAGACCTTTGAGTTGGCATGTGAGAGTCTAGCCACTATGCCACAACACAGTAAAATTGCTCTTTGTACCACTGGAATAAAACTGGCTGCTGAAAATGGAGATGAAGCACTTATGGAAATTTTCTAAGCATTCTGAGATCAGTTCTTAATACAACATAACTCAGCACAGACAAAGTAATTTTTTTTGCTTGAACTTCCTGGAATAGAAAGGGGTTAAAAACCAACTCCTAGGGACTAAAAGAATTAATGATGAAAATAATGGTATAGTGCATTCCAGAAGTTCTGAACAACTTAAAAATCTGTAATTCAGTAACTATTTGGTGTAAGTTGTTGAAATCTGTCATGCAACCTGTTTATAATTATGTCCTTGTAAGAATTTTTTTAATTATTGTATAAACAAACATCTAGTTTTCACTAGCGTTTTACTTTCAGGTGGTCATCTCCCAGCATTTGTCTCCCATGAATTGCAGATTTGTCACTGTGTGTGGGATAGGTTATCAAAATAATCACCATGCATCGCTGCACATGTGAACTAATTTCCAAACAATCTTCATTTGTGTGTCAATTACTATATATTCCATTTTAGGGGTAAACAAATTATTAGTCAAACAAAGATCCAAGAAATGTGCCGCTTTAATAAAACAGCAGCACCTGTGCAGTTGTAAATTACAAAATCATAAGGACTTGGGAAATCAAAGGCCACATGCAAAAATTTGTGTTGATCCGTAGAAGTTTTTGAGATATTTCTTGAAGTGTGAGGGCACGCATTTTGAAATGCACTACAGAATGCTTGATTATGCAGACTTTGGTTAAATACCTTTACTGGTGTCTTTCCTTTTTCTGAGTCTGCTAACTGAAATTTGTATTTATTCAATAACTTTACAAACTAAAAAGCAGATCTGAATCTTTTTCCTTCATGTTCTCCTTTTACTTCTTCAGCAAAGCCCTATACAATGAAGCTGGGGAATCCAAGCATTGTAATGATTACCTCTTGATCATTTTGTTGTTGTTGGTCTGCCTCAATCCCATAAAATACACATCACTGTTGCCTCATCTTGCTCAAATCTTCCACTACGATGTTATGAATGTTCTCTGTATTGAAACCAAACTCATCTGCCATCATCCTCATAATAAAACAGCGATCTTCTTGTAGCCGTTCTCTGAATGTTGCAACTAGTTCCTCATTAAGAATAGAAATTGGGCATCCAGATCTAGTTGCATTAGTAATGATTTCCACACCACTTCTGAATCGGGAATACCACCTGAAAATCTGTGCACAAGATAAACAATTATCCTCATTAAGTTTTAATCTTAGCTTTTTGCTTCATGCTGATTGCATAACAATACATCTCTGACTAGGTCAACAAAATAGCGGCTTGTTTGTTGTCTGCTTGTCGGGTGGCGATGAAAAGTTGCCAGATCATAGATGAAAGGTGCCTCTTTGGATTCCATGCTTTGATTCAAAGATGGCATTTTTGTCCTGAACATAAAAAAATTAGTCTCATTACCTAATTGTCGTAAATATTGATAAACTATTTCAAGTGAAAGAAGAAGAAGAAGAAGATAAAAAATGTAGAACTAACAGCAAGTTATACTGATCCTGCAGATCCTGAATCAGCTGTTTATCCGATGCATTGCTCTGCTTTCGACTGTAAACTCCACTCTGATGAGAGGATGTGGTTGAGTCAGCAAAATTCTGTGTTCGATAGTGAGCCACTGACTGCTCCGTAAAAGACTCCCTAGAAGACTTTAATGTGGGTTCCCGTGAGGCAACATTCAAGGATGATACATGAGGTTCCTAAATAAATAAAGAACTGCTGTCAGAAAAAGTACATCATCAACATATGAAAAAAAATAGATATGTATTATCATCTTCATCCTTCTTACAAATGATGTAATTGTATATTGTCTGTTTACAGCATAGCTGTTTTCTGCACCTGTCGATTGACACATCTGACTTCACAAAGCATGCATTGTCGGGGTTAGCTTCTCCAGTTAGTTTTGTGTCATACTGATATTCATTAAAAAAATGTAAGATACCATATCCTGTTCAAACGGTCTGGGTTATAAATCAGATGTAATGTGGCTATGCTTGCTTGTCAAGACAGTGGTCTGGATTCAATACAACGTCCAACCCAGGATGATCATTAACACCACTAGCACTTCCTTGGGAGAGTGCATCTACCTGAAAGGCAAGGAACCAACAGTCTTCATACAAATAAGTCAGGTCTGTAAAACAGATATGCACACAACACTTAAGTTCTGGAATAAGACTTAAGTCCAGAAGTGGACAAACAACCAGAACTTTTCACCGGAGTTTAAAGCTAGTGGATGCAAAGAAGAACAAGACCACCAGCATCCACCCCTCCCCACACACACCATAAAATAAACACAAACACTAAACCCCCAAATTTAACACAACACACACTGAACACACGCACAATGAATAAAGACACTGAACACACACAGAACATTTACACACACACACTGAACATAAAGTGCCTTACAAGCATCAGAAATGTCCAGCTACAGTTCAACAAAGAGAGTTATTTGGTACAATAGAGCTCTCCTCAACTGAAGGTTGATACAGCATCCACTACTGTCTTTTGGAAATATAACATGGTGAGCCCCAATCTTTTTAGGAACAGGCCATTTAAAAAGGAAATCGTCTGCTTGGGAAACTGAACCCTAACATGGCAAGGATCGTGAAATTGTGAACAGCATTGTGATCTGTAAGCTATTCAAAGTCAAACACGCTAGAGTTCATAGAAATGCATTTACCCCCTGGGTGGTTGACCTCTGGCTTTGCTTTCAATTTTGTCTAAGCGATACGGCTCTTTGTGGTGTACTATCTGGTGGTAGTCTAAAGGAGCACTCATCCAAACCATTTGAGCTGTTGTCCATTGATGTAGTTTGATACTGGTTCCATCCAAGCTTCCTTCCTGATATTGTCATTTCTGCATTTATGATCCTGTCTCTTCTAGTCACACACACACACACAGAAAGAGAGAGAGAGAGAGAGAGAGTGAGAGAGTGAGTGAGTGAGTGTGTGTGTGTGTCTGTGCGCACGTGTGCATGAGTGCGTGTGTGTGTGCGTGTGTTCTGTCAATGTGAAAATACGTTTGGCTGGTTAATTATAGTACCTAAAACTTTACTCATGTCTACTATAACTAAAGTCTGCACGGTTGATCTGTTTGTTTATTACTGTTTGTAAAGCTGACATATGGTTTTTTTTTGTAATTGTAGTCTGTATAGTTGACCTATGTCTCTTTATTGTAATTGTAGACTGTAAAAGTGACAGAAACTTCAAATTCCTTTATTTTAGTTTTGTTGCACATAGTCAAGAGCACTTACTCTGTCATACATGAGGTAGCTGTTGATCACACTTCCCAGTTCATTTAACACTGCCACAAATGTAAACATAAAACACGTTAGCTGTTACATGATAAACTGAAACATTAGGACATTAGTTAGTACATTACTAATTACTAATGCATACATGTTAGCACACTTTCTCAGACTGCCATCCATATGGTAATGTTGTCCTCCCATTTGTATCGTTGTCTACCTCTTGCTTGCTCGCCATGAACTATTCCCTCCAGTATGGTTTTCAAAAATGTGTTACATCTTTTAATGTGGGTTGCCATGGTTTTGAGACTAGATGACCGCCTATGGATCTAAAGAGCATGGGTTTAAATCCAAGGGCAGCCGTATTATTTTTTTTAAAATGATCTTGACTCCTAGGATGACCCAGCCTTAAGGTCAGGCAAAAGCTGGGAAGTAAAAGCAGCCAGTATGATGTTCACCATACCGAGTGTCCATTTGACTATAAAATATAGGTGTAGCACTATATGCCCACTGCGCCCAGAGGCGTTGAAAAGGGTCCTTTACTTTTTTCTAATCAACATACAAGATAACTCTTTTTCTCAGAATTAATGACAGTAATTTATTTAAATTAATATAATAAAATCTCACATACCAAACAAAATATTGTTTGTTAGCTGCTCAATCTGTGGCATGACGTTCTGACTCTGGTCATAGGTCATTGTTTCCAGGTCAGATGTCATCTGGTAGGCAGACATTAAATCTGTGAAGAAAAAAGTGAATTAGATCTCCTTAACAGGTCCATGTCTGAAACTCTTCTAGCCAGCTACACACAAAGCTTCGTGTTAGTTTTGACAGAGCTGTGAGCAGTGACCATTCATTCATTCGTTCGTCCATCCAAGTGAAGAGGACCACTGTTTCATTCATCCCTCACGAAGCTGCAGTTGAATGTTTGTGAGTCCAGAGGTGACTTATAAGTCCAATATGTGGCCTGTCTTCTCTGTAAACTGGTTCTGTCTTTACAGTCGTGTTTTATCGTTGTTGAAATTGTACTTCAGTTATAAAGGATTCACTTATTTGCTTCATTTATGTAATTGTTACTCTAGTATGCACCTGATGAGATACAGTGAAATGTGCCAGGCAAAAAATTGTGCAATCTATTGTTTGTGTCTTCTTTGTTCAAATATTTTAAATGATTTGATAAAACTAAAAAAGAATATGATTACAACTATCTGGTAAAAATCTAAATATATAATTTCACCTTTTTCTAAGAACATTCTGGCCACAGCTTCTTTAAAATTTACAACTCCTTCATAGACACGAAGGTACTCTCTTAGTAATGGCTGCTCTAACAAAGTGCTGCTTCTGAAAAATAAAACAAGTAATCAAACGCTGTGTGTCTTGTTATTGTGAGTCTTGTATTATGCTGATGAAGGCCAGTTGCCACAACATCCTTTGTTTGTCTATCATAAGTAGTCCTGTAATTCCCCGTGTGGGTTTCGGGGCCATATTATAGGGAAAAAAGAATAGACCCAGTGCCTACCCAAAAGAGTAAGGGTAAGAGTCGACTAACTGAGAGCGTCTTCAGAGTCGGAGTGCATCTGCCTGAGAGGCAAAAAACCAGCAGTCTGCATACAAATGAGTCAGATCTATAAAACAGATGCACACGCAACACTCAGGTTCTGGAACAGGACTGCAGTGCAAAAGTGGATGAACAACCAGAACTTTTCGCCAGAGTTTACAGCTGGTGAACATGAAGAAGAAGGAGAGTAGTCCTGTAATGAAGACATACACTCTAAACATTTTTTAAACAATCACTCTTTTCTGCAGAATTTGGCAGCCAGTCTGTTGCCAGTCCTTTCTTGATCACACCAGACAATATACACTGCAAACTCCATGTTGTTATTCTTTGTTTTTCTGATGGGCCCCTGTAGCACATGGCAGGATACCAAGAAGAAGACTCAATGCTGCAACAATTATGCCCAGAATTTGAGGTTTAGTTACATTAGACAGAAAGACTGTTGGCCAGATTAGCCTTCATAGGATTAGTATGTTTTATGTTTTGTTTTGTTTGTTTGCTTGCTTGCTTGCATGAGTGCGTGTGCATGTGTGTGAGTGCGCGCAAATGCATAGTGTGTGCGTGCTTTGTACATGTTGTGTGAATGGTTTTTACATGTTTATATACCTTTTTTTTGTGTGTACTATGCATGTGATTGTATCTTTGTTTCTGTGTACGCTTGGCCAATTTGTGTACGTCTGTTTATGTGTGCTTGGTATGTGTTTCTGTGTCTGTATCTTGCATGTTTTGTTATGTCTCCTCTCTCTCTCTCTCTGCTTGGTATGTGTTTCTGTGTCTGTATATTGCATGTTTTGTTATGTCCTCTCTCTCTCTCTCTCTCTCTCTGCTTGGTATGTGTTTCTGTGTCTGTATATTGCATGTTTTGTTATGTCCTCTCTCTCTCTCTCTCTCTCTGCTTGGTATGTGTTTCTGTGTCTGTATCTTGCATGTTTTGACATGTCTCTCTCTCTCTCTCTCTCTCTGCTTGGTATGTGTTTCTGTGTCTGTATCTTGCATGTTTTGTTATTTCCTCTCTCTCTCTCTCTCATGCGTGCATGCATGTGTGAGTGTGTGTGTGTGTGTGTATCTGTGTGTGTATGAGCCTGTGTGTGTGTGATAAAGATTACACTAATGTCACTAAATTATTTATTAACTATTTTGACACCAGAGAACAGGTGCATCAGTTATAAATCAACATGTGCTACATTTTCCGGTACCCAAAGAGTTTACATTTTCTTATTTCAAGATTAATTAATAAATCAGCATCTCCAAAGAGAAACTAATTATCTCATACTTTGACAGCTGGCTAGCAGCTCTAGATAAGCTGGTTGCTTCTCTCGAAATCCCAAATGTACCAGACATAGGGGAAGTTCCCACATCATACATCGATGGCTCCTTGAGCTCTGAAACATTAAATCAAAAGATAAATATCACTAAGGTCTTGTCTTTAGAAAAATTACAACTGACAGTTCAGGGATTTCTATTACTAAGAGTAAAGTCCCCTTTTCTCAACTCTGATGCACTGGGCATAGTGTGTTAGACCTATATTTGAGCAGACCAATTAACACTCAAAGGATGAGGTAGTCAACATAACAGCAGCCATGTTTAATTCCCAGGACATAAGATAGAATTCATTTTAGGCTGGGCTGACCTTGGAGCAAGGACAGTTGTTGTCTATTTCTTCTTTCTAGCGTTTTTCGACTGTAAACTCTGGCAGAAAATTCTGGTTGTTTGTCCACTTCCGGATGTTGATCTTGTTCCAAAACTTGCATTTTGTGTGCACATTCATTTTACAAATCTAATTTATTTGTATGCAGACTGCTGGTTTCTCGTCTCTT